TGAGACGTTTATACCTTGAGTTCTCATTGTTCTTCATAGTATATTCCTATCTTCTGATTGGTCGTTGTAATTACTTTGATTTTGCGACGCTCAATCGGAAAGAACTCTAAACCCACTTTCCAAAAACAAAGCTGTTCAAAACATTCTCACTGTTGTGTTCTAGGTTTGACTTTGTTCAGTGTCCTAGTCAAAAATGTGGTTTAAAAGGTGATCTTCGTTTCAGTAATGTGACCGTCGGCCTCACAGTTCCTTAACCCTTTAACTCCCAGATCAAATTTTAAATTCTCCTTACTGTCAGCCATACAATTCTTATAATGTTAGTTCAGAGAATTTAGTATTCGATCAAATAATTATTCTCAAATTTATATTTTTTTATTCTCATCACTTATCCGGTTGATATTGTATTGATATTGTAAGGAGAAATTTTTTCTTGGTCACTTATGGGAGTTAAAGGGTTAAAGCTCATACTCGTTCGGTCAGTTTGCGAACAAAAACAGTCTCAAACTCAAAACGTTCCCCGTACTTCAGAAGATTGACAACAAACACGAGTGGACGTCATTCTTCGTCAGGAGTTGTTCGTTATTAAAATATTAAGTCTGGTTTGTGGGAAATAATCGGTCGTTTTTGCCTTTATGTTACTGGTTGAACAACTCAGGAACCGTTCGTCAGTTTTGATTGGTCAGTTTGGATCAATCGGTACAGTTAAGTAGCCTTATTCTCAGAGTTATTAATGTCAATGTCATTAAAGGTCGTTTCTAAGGAAACTGTACATGTTGACATTTCTTAACATTTGTCCATTCTAAGTTGGTAAAACAGCTCACTTGAATCAGTAATTGAAAATATTGACGCTGAAGGTTATCAATAGAGCAGAGTCCCAGTCAATAATAGTGTGGCAGTGTAATTGTGAGTTAATCCAACACTGACATAAAAAATTCTTATTCCCCGTTCATGTTCTGTCAGTTTTAACGCACTTATCGTTTCGTGAATTTGGGACAAAGTTGCAGAATCATGGGATAGTCCTACGAGTGTCCTGTATGAAAGATATCGTCACCTTAAAGAAGTCGGGATTCCGTTCATTACGGTTGTTTCAATAGTTCCTTCACCTAACTCATGCTCTTCCAAAACCATTTATGCTCAAAACCAGCCAAAATGGAAATTAAGAAAAAAGCCATTGTTCTCTTGTCGATCATCATTTACTAGCTTAATGATTGGAAAAGTCGATCTAAATAAGGTGGCACTGTCAACTGTACAACATGAACATTTGTACAACAAACAGTCCTAAGAGGCTGATAATTTCTCTTTGAATGAAATGCACCCAAACTGAGACACCGAAACTTTTTTCATCGTCTTCTTCAATAACATGATGTCTAAATCGTAGCCAAGTGACCCCTCCAGTCCTAGGGATCACATTGTTTATTTGAATTTTTTTAGTTGGTAACCGAGTGATTCTTTTCTCTCAAAGAAACTGAAAATTACGATTTCATAAAAGTTCTTCTTTCACTTAGTTGACCCGCAGAGCCACCTTAAATGCACCCTAAACCCCGAAATCTTGCAGCTAGAACAAATCTTAATAGTCATGGTGACTTGAGTTACTGAGTGCTTTGCATTCCTGAAACTTGGACCGAGAAGTTTGGACCAAACATGAAAGTTGCATACTCAGTTCTTTTTTGTTTTATGTATCAGCGACCAAAATACATCGAAATGATTTCTTATGCTTTGCATCCATGAAATTTAGACCAAACACTCAAATCGAAAACTCCTTTTTGCTTTTGGTTAATGAACAACCAAATTAGATAAACTTGAATTTTTTTCCAGATAACCACCAATATTTTGTGTTGATCTGCAAACCAGTCTGTACCTTAAAGAACGGCTCCATGTTTTGGGTTGATTCGCCCTAACTTGACATAACTCAAGTCACCATTTTACTGCAATCCTATAATAATATGAAAGTCTTATCTTTGTCGAATCTTCTCCTGGTTCCAGAGATTTCAGTTGCCCTTTTGACCACACATTTGTCCATCTTCTTCACACAAAAAGCCTCAGTCCTGAAACACAAATATGATATTCCACTGATAAGCAGCTGAACACATTTCGGATAGCTGAAGAGGGATTCACGAGACTCAGCCTAACAACGCATATATCCAGGAGATGAAGCAGATTCCGAAGTTATGTTGTAAGATTTTGACACGATACACCAACTCTTTAGGCAAGTTGGAAGAAACTTAGGAAACACTCAAGCAAATTATTTAAAAACTTAATTCCTTCAAGACAGGATAAGAATAATGTTGTGCATTGCACGTGGCCACATCGAAGACTTGCTTACTAGGATTTTAGGAATATATTTTCTGATTGCCTCTCTGGATTTACATTTTTTACATGCATTCATTTAAATTTCCTCAAATATGTTCGAGTTTCAGTGCGTAAATAAAATGTTTCTTGCTCTCGAACTTGAGCCGTACAAAGCGATAGCCGACTTTACGTACGCACAAGTAGTAACACACGAATGGAAACTTTGGCGGTTTAACTGTAATGATACACAAACATAGTATTTACCTTATCTTAGGGTAGTTTAAAGACTGTATTGCTATCATGTCTTCACACATCTTCTCGGTTTTCTCCAGCTCGTCTTCAGAAACCCATCCCAAACTGAACACGCCGACAACTAGCGTGGTTTGTTGTGAATTCGATAGCATGAATATGAATGAGGAACAACAACGAATCAGAGATGTTGGCGTCTGCACGACTTTCAGCACGTTATTTGCAGCCGGCCAATTGGAAAGAAAGCCGTGAAAATAATTCTTATTTATTTTGGTTCCCTTTGCATGTTGATGAGTAAATAAGAAACGTATTTTGTAAGAATTTTTCACGATCGTAAAATTAAAATTTCAAGGAAAGAGTTTCACTCTAATCATATCTGCAGAAAAATGGGTTTAATAAAAATAAGAATTGAAAGATCTGTTTTTATTCAAAAACTTTGAAACACAGGCGTCTTACGTCTTGTGCGTAAAATGAGCAGGAGGAACACCACTAATGAATATTTTTTTTTCGCTCTGACGAAAGGCACACGCTAAGAATGTCAGTTTTAGAAACTCTTTACAGTGGCCAATTTACATCATCAACTCAGTTGATAAACCAAATTATCTAATAAAAACCCCCACCGACGCAGTGCTACTATTTCTTTGGAAAGTTGCCCCTTTTATTCATTTGACTATTGATGAGGTGGCTAAAACAAAATATCGAAAATATCAAATAAACGTTGAAGTTAAGTATAGGAATACGAAGGATTCTGGGCGGTTACAAAGAAACGAAGGTCTTTTTAAAACAGCTCCACTGAAGTGTCCATACCAATGCTGCTAAAATTGTTTTCCAGCCTCGATGGGACCCTTCTTAACCCAATGACCCCTTCGAGTGACTAGAATCTAATTTCACTTTACAACATAACTCCCAAAGCACACATTAAGGTCAGGAGAAAAGGGAAATGATGACGTGCGTTGATAAATTTGAAGCTTCGACATCCTCCCCGGCAACCTCCATCACCATTTGAAGATTGGTTGGTTCAAATTCCCACCCCACTGAGCCAAATAGTGTTTAGATGCCCTATCGGATTTGATGATCAATTTTTTTGTGAAGGCAAGATCAGCGACCGTGACGTTATTACACACCTTTACTTCTGAGCCATCTGTCAGCGAAAGTGAATTCTTTACCTTTAGCATTAAAAGATAAAACACGTGTTCCACCGGAAAGACCTGACAGTTCCGGTTCAAATTACCCACCCCACCCAGGAAAGGTTCAAACTCCTCACCCTATGGTCGAGGACGACGGTCACATGCCCTGTGAGTGAGCTGCCTTGGGAGAAATGTTGAAGTTCGGTTGATTAGCAAATTGAAGTTAATTTGGTTCGGACTAACTGCAATCAGCCGTTCCTTTCCGGGAAGGTGTAACTGTTTACTAGGTCGGCCCGCCGACTCATGCGCTGCCTCACTATCACGCGCCTAAGAAAATAAGACCGCCTCATCGCAGGTTAAGCTAAATCTTTACATTTTCCCAGTCCCACTGACTCGTTAGGTCCTACTAGGTCCTCATCCAAGTTTCCGCTTCATTTGCCCCGTCACCTGTGTCGTCTGCAACAGCGATGTCATTTCCCTGAGAGGCCTACCCACGTTTTTTTATTACCACCACATTGGATCTTCTTCGTCTGAACGCATTATCGGTTTGGAAACTTTTATCTCATTTCAAATTTTCATGCTCATTGACACTCTCTGGTACATGTGCTTACTATTCACACTCTCCAGTTAAATCACGTTTTTTGTAATTCCCTTGTTAAGCTCTCTTGAATGCTTACGATAAGACAAGAGAAATACCGAATGAAATGACGTCTATATCCTTTTCCGAGGAAAATTTTTGGGCGTACATTTTCATCAACCTGCCCATCTTTCTTCCCCTCCCCCTCCCCTCCCTCTTACCACTACTCTCACGATTTGATTACAACTTTGGTATGTTCAGTTACTCTGACGCATTGAGCCGACTGAGGAGTTTCTTCAGCTCCCCTCTCGTGTCTTTCTGACATATTGTTCCTTCCTTATCTTTAGAGTAAGGACTTCGTAATATGCATCGGTCGAAGAGGATAGTACAAGCGATAAAAGGTGCCTCTTAAAACTCAACATTTCAAAAAAGAATTCACTTGTACTCTTAACTGCAATATACATATGTATCTGCACACGCGATTCACAATCAGGCGCCGGGCTCACACCCGAAGCGTCGGCTCTTCAAAGTAATTACCGCGGGTAAAAAAATGGAGACGAGTCACCTCGAAATTTTGTCAAGATAATTAACATCAAAATATCAAGCAAGCGCAGATACACCATGAGTTCCATTTGAAACACTTAACTCTGACGCTTTTGAAGTCGGTGTATCTATGAGTATCAGTGAAATTAGTTATCAGACCTTAAAGACAGGAGATACCTTAAAATCAAAATAGTTGAGTACCCAAAGTTTTTAGGTTATCAATACGAGGTTTATTCAGTCAGTTTCTTTAGTTCCTCCTCCTCTTCTTCGGCCTCTTCTAACTTACTCCTAGGAAGAGGAAGCCACGATGCTCCTGGTATGTATGGAGGATCGCTAACAGCGCTCCCCTCCAGTAACTTGTATTCCTTCTCTCTCTTTCGCCTTTCAACTTTGAATAGAAGTCTCTGTTCTTTTCTTTTACTTGTAATCTCCTTTGCCCACTGAGATTCTGCAGGTATCAGCCCCCGTGCTTTGGTTATAAACTGAGGGTTCCTTCTCCGCGTGGCTTCGTATCGGTCAGGACAGATGTGCCCTTGATAACTGACTCCACGCTTACCTTAAAAATTGACACCATGTTAACTATAAAAGATGTCTTCATCGTGTATTTACTGAAACTCTGGGTGCACATTTGTAAGTGCATTCGAGATATTACGATCCTGAGTCTCATGAAGAACTGGCCAGAGATCAATATCGACTCCGCTGAAAGTTCTCGAATAAAGAAGTCATTACAACATTCCAAGGGCGAGTCAAAGTAATAAGCAAAGAATAATTTGATTCCAAAACTCCTTTGCGTTGTCTTAGACACCTGCAAATCCCTCCAATCGGTGAAAACTGTCAACTGGAGGAAAAGGACTCTGCTACATCCTAGTTAAGCAAATCACAAGACCGAGTGACGTAATAGAGTAATTGAGTGTCTAAAGTAAGCCGGGATCGCTTTGGTTCTGTTTTACTTTGAGCGTGATAGTTCTAAAAAAATTCGCACCATACTCTAAACCAATCAGATGCCAAACGAAAACCAATTGTGACTTGGTCGCCCACATTTTCCCGCGCTTTTGGTAGTTTGCTTGTTATTAGTTATTACGTTGACTCCTTATTGGCTGATGATGACGTAAACCTTTGTTTTAATTGGCTGTTGTGATTACGTTGGTTTTGGTTCCAAATGTAAGAAAACTATAGACGACATTGAAAATACTAAAAAAGTAAAATCACGTGTCAAACGACTTTCGATGAAAATGGGAGGAGATACATGTAAGTGCCATTCATTTGCCATCATAATTCCTCTTTAAGCATTCGGAAGAAACATAATTTTCCCCTTCTCCAACTTGTTAAATACTTACCTCGTGCTTTAACACTAGTTGGTAGCAAAGGCGGCTGTCGGACATGAAGTCCAACTGCATTAGGAGTGTGAGCTTTCAGCGTCACTAACGAATCATTGCCTGCTGTTACAGCCACCCAACCAACATTGGACAGAACCACATCAGCAGCACTCGTGTCCCAGCCTATTCCCTTAATGGTGAATTCTTGTGATCCAAGCGGGGGAAACGTTTCCATGCGCTCTTTACCACCAACTGGTATCTGTAAAGAACACAGACATAAAAAAGAGACGGATTGAGCGGTTCGGATATAGTGATTAAGATTCTTATGGCGTGAATAACAGCGTATTCAACAAATCTACTGCTAACATAGGTACCTAGCCGGCATAAAAATGTTCTCACCAATAGCTGAACTGTTAAGCTATCTCAAAGTTGATGATTTGGTAAATTCTCATTACTACTTTACTCCCCTATGTCATGTTATAATAATATTATGGAGAACAACTTGTCTCACTACTTTTTCTAAAGAATCTTACCCCAAGTAGTTCAGTCCCAGCGTGTTTGTCGTACACTTCAACAGCACGTTCCTCACTACAGATATGGACTGGTAAATTAGGAGAAGCGACCACAGTAAAGTAAATAGACTCGATTGCCTGAAACAGTGTAATGCAAAATACATAGTAAGCGGGACAGAACATGACATTAAACAATTCAAAACCATTTCAAAAAGTCTATATTTTAGCTTGTCCTTACTATTATTAACCGACTGTTATTAACTTTAGCTGAAAAAACTTGTATATTATACCGAGTCAACAACTGAATGACAATTAGGAATTTACTCGTTTTTCTTGACATACGTCAGTAATTTGAAGCTGCTACGCGTGAAATCGTTGCTCAAACCTTCTAGTTACGCTGGAGAGATATTGTTATAAATATACTCCCTAAAAGTACAAATCTCAAACGCATTTAGGAAGGGGTACTAAGAATTTTGGAAAGTTTCCAGACAACGTTATTGGAGAGTACATAATAAAACTCCCAATACATCTAATAAGTCCATTTTTTTCATAACCACACAAGAAATCCAATACTTCATGGAAAAGAGTCCAAAATATTCAGCAGACCTTTTTTTCATATTACAGTGCTAAACATGATAACACCAGAAACATGTAATTATGCAACAAACCTTTGGAATGGCATCCCATTCACCATTTTGACTCTGTCTTTTTATCTAAATAATAAATAATTACATCAAATCATAGAAGCATTCCCAAAAAACAACAACAACGACAATGCAATTTCACATATCTACGTAAAATGTTACTTTTTTTGGCAGTTGAGATAAATAAATTTTCTTCAAACTGCATCATTTTGAGATATTTTATTTCCTCTGCAGAGACTAATATAACCATGGAACCTCAAATTACAAAAGATTTTCACATCAAACTACACCTCAAGATAGTCCACTCTGGCCAGGCCACCAAGCAGTAAGGAAAAGCCCGGTTTAAGAATGAAGGTCCTGGGCACAAACCACAGTTTTGGATTCAAGCGTCTTAGCTCTTCCATGGTCAAGAGATTTGTGATCTGTCAAAATGAGATTTAGAAAGTATGAAATGGTAGAGTTTTTCACCAAGGAAACCAATTTAAACAAATTATCATGCTGTAGTTGTTTATTTGCAATATGAATGATTTTAGTAAAAGTATTTTGCAATCTGTCCACTGTTATCTTCTGTGAGACATTCTGAACAGACGGAGGCCAACTTCCTACTGACCAATCACAATAAGGTTCAGGGTATGTGAACAAACCTTTCCCTTTCAATCCCAAGATCTAAACAAAAATTCCTCTTACTGTCTTCCATTAATTGTTAATAATATTGGTTCAGAGAATTTGGTGTTCAATCAAGTAATACTCTTAGAGTTGATATTTTTCCTAGTCTACTTGTCTGCCTCACACATGCATTGAATTTATATTGCACAGAGCAATTGCCTCAGTCACTCCCAGGAGAAAAAAGGATGAAACCACAACTTAATTATCATTTTTGTTTGCAGTTTCTTTTCTAACTCCTCATTGGCTTTCTCCTTGGAACACAATAACACTCCATAAATATTTCTGATGCTCAAAGTTATCTGAATTTCATGATAACCTAAGTGGGATATAAACTTTGTATTTAAAAAAATATATATATTACCTAGAAAACAGAACATTAATAAAAGAATTAGATATTTTCATTGCCTAAAAACATTATATCAAATTTGATCTAACTATATTCATGATATTTCCATGACATAAAAGCAAAGCATGAAACTTCCACTTATAAAATAAAATGGAACAACTCATTTGTACCTGGTTTTCACTAATAACTCCTGGTGTGTCATACAGCCATCTCTGGTTCCTGTTTGGTTGATACATCACAAAACTTGGCTTAAAAGTTTGAAGCCCTGTTTGTGAAGGAACTATTGCTGTTGAACTTCCCTTTCCAATAGAACTTTTCTTCTTTTTATCTCGGTAGCTTGTTTCTTCTTTAGATATGATCTCATCATCAATTTGATATTCTATATCATCAGGCTTTTGCTGAAGAGGATGAAAAGAGAAGAAAAAGTCAAAGCCAAAGGCAAAAGAGTCCCTAGGAAATTATGTGGAGAGATGAAGTGGTCTCATGGTAGTGTTACAAAATTTGATTTTGAACTTGACTGTCCAACTTTGAGAACAGTTAGAAGTCCCTGCATTGTGAGCTTAAGTGAGGCACTTGACTCTGAGGAGTGGCTCTCCATTCAAAGTAACTAATGGGAACCACTATTTTTGGGGAATTACCTTATCAAATGCTGTGACAGTTTGCATTGTCTAACACAAACAGTAGCTATCTACATGTAAAGCACACAAGAAGACTTATCAACAACCTTAAACTCTTAACTAACATGTCACTCATTATAAGAGCCAACAGCAAAGGTGACAATATCTAAAGGACTGACAAAACATCCTAAAAAACACAGGATGATGGAGTATTCTAAAACACCAAATGATGTCATTTGTGTTACATGTAAATTATTAATCTAATAGAGAACAAAAAGTTCTGTTATAAATACTACAAGGGGACAAACCTAAATGGTTACATTAGTGAATAGAAGGTGTGTAAATATTTGGGGAAACAAAAAAAAAGGCTAATATAGAGTAGATTGCCAGCTTTAGATGCACTATCTGTTGCCTTAGGAATTAGCTTCATCAGTCATCTAAAATATAGTGCCTCTGAAAGTCACAATCTACCTTGTATAGCCTCTTCAGTATATTATTGATATAATTAGTAGAACTAATTGGATCAATAATATGATTCATTTATCAACCAGTCTGGTTCACCTCCCTACTGAATAGAGAAGATCAACTTGCTGCTTTCTAATTGGCAAACTACATAATTCTTATCAACTTTCCTTATGCTAAAACTCCTATTAATCTTTAGAATGCTGGAAATTATCCTAAATCATAAAGTGTTTTTCCTTTACCTCAAATTGTCATGTCTGAGAAACACTCACCTCATAAACACCTTCATGCAATCTTCTCAACAACTTCCCTAACATCATGTGACCAATAGGAAACCTTATCATCCTTTGTGTGGTGCATGGCCATAAACTAACTGTAGCCCTCTGTAATAAGTCAGCATTCTTATGAACACTAAAGAAATCCAACAACAGGTTAAATAGTGACGTTTTTCCAGCATTGCTACAGCCAATAAGATAAATGTCTCCCTTGTCATCCCAGTGTTCGCTGATTTTTCTCACAAGTTGTGTTATACCATAACCAGTTTTGGCACTGATCAGGCACATACTCTTAATGTTGGCACCTTCCAAGCCATGAGCTTGGCACATTTTAAAGAGTACTTCTTTTAAATGTCGTTCTTGTTTTCCAGTATGTGTTCCTTCCACTGGAAGCATGTCAGCTTTGTTGCCAACAATAATGATCCTTTTTGCTTCACCCACAGTTTGAAGAAGATTCGGAAAAAGACTTCCAGGAAGATCCATCATGTCTACAACATAGAGAATCAATCCTTTTCTTCTTTCTATGTGTCCCACGTACTCCATTACCTCGCTTGAGGTTATTGTGATGGGAAAGGGTTCATTGTAATGTTTCAAGTTGAAACACTTCTGACAAACCAAAGTTCTGGCAAGCCACTCAGAGACTGGACCTTTTTCACCTGTAATTGGATTCTTTGAAGGCATAACGTAGCCTCCCTGTGAAGGATCTTCGCTTTGGAAAGCAGATCCGCAACCAAGACACTTAGGAATCGGTTGCTCAAACTCATAGACATGGGTACCACTCTCAACTTCTGAAGATTCGGGCTCTGCGAGTGAAGGTTCGTCGTTGAAAACTGTATTGATATCGACACCTGTTGGCGTAATTCCACTGACCCTTTTAGCACTTTCTGGACTTTTTTCATCTAAATTGCCATCTTCCTCAAAAAGTAGAGACGACGCTCTGAAAGATCTTCGAAATAAGTTCAGCTTGTTCCAGCATTGGACATTACCACGTAGCTGTGATGTCACAACTTTGGAGAAGTGTTTTTTCCTTGCAAGGTTGTTAAATTTAAGTCTATTTACTCTCCAAAAGAGTCCCCTTAACCCTGAATAATGAATCATTGACATGATATTTTGCTTCGCTCGTGCGATCAGAAGCATGTCACCACACTACGTCTGCCATCTTAGAATTAGAATAAGGTGCATCCGCTGTCATACCGCAGGCGGTTAGTTTCCCAGTCCCAAATCCTACCCGATCCACTTGTGGTAAGTCTCTTTGAGTATACTGGAAAATTGCAGAGTAAAGTAACACTCCCAAAATTCTATAGGAATATGTATTTTAACTACCAAAGCTAAGTATTGTCTGCTAACTTAGGGTTGAAAATATTGTTGTTTTTTGTTATCTCGCTCTAGGATTTCTCAAGTTCTTGGTTCGAATTGCTGTCGAGTTGATCAAATGTCTAGTCGATAAATTATAACTTTTCCAGCCAGTTTCTATGAGAACGGAAGGGAAACGACAAACGTTCCAAACGTATATAAAATTCATTTAAAATCATCACATTTTTTTGTAATATTGTGGAAAACAATCTTATACGTAGTCCATGTTTTGAGGAAATTTTTCGTCACAGTCGTCCGCGATCAATTAACTCATCGAATATACCTTGAGAGGTAAGAAATCAGATGGTAAGTTTAAAGAGAAACAGTGGTGCTGCGTCGGTGGGTTATTGCGAAACGGTTTCGTTTTATAAACCGCTGTGTTGATTATGGAAATTGGTCACCGCAAAGATGGTTTCGTTTTTTCGTTTCGGGTTCAAATTTTTTCTTAATGATCAGGTATTTTTCTTATTTTTAACATCTCTTTTATCCACAATTAACAAACAAAATTCAAACCAAAATGCTCACAAAATTTATTTGAATTACTTTTAAAATTTTGTTTGTTTACTTTCTCACTGCTGAAGTTGACCCCACAAAGCGCTGGCCGTGCGCTTAAACTCAAAGCGAGAAATACTGAGTTCTCGCTATCCTACCGAAAATCTACAGAGGACGAGAAAGACTGCCCCATTGTCCTGAATCACACTTGAGATGTTCTTTCTAACAATAAGTACAGTTTACAAGCTTTAAAGCCATGCATTCTGAACAAACGCGCAAGATGTTCCACCTTCATTGTAAAATTGGCGTGTCGTGGATCTGTCAAATTAACATAAACGCTGCTTGGTAATCCCAACAGCTGTCGCATATAACACTTAACCAGTAACCTTAGACGGTAAGTGACACCTTTTGTGCATAGTTTACCCATTAACAGTGCCTAAAGCAATCTAATTGGCGGAGAGCGCGACTGTCTTTGTTTAAGGTGCTTTAGCAGTAAATTACGTATTCAGCGGTAATGTCTACCTCAACGGGAGATTGTGTACCTTGACAACGAACCAAAGCCAAAAAGTTTGCTCAGCAGTTCAACAGAATCTACTGATTGCAGTCGAAGTTTAAAGCGTTAAAAATGGGCTTCACAGAATTAACCAACCCTCATAAAGCCAGCAATTTGCCAGGGTTTGTAAAGTTGTTTAGTTGCCGATTTTATCCCAGTTTGATGTTAGCATCTGCCTTCAAGTGGATCATTAGCTTGTGACACAATTGAATGGTAGTTTGTATTTAAATAGAAAGTACAACAAGTTGAGCTTGAGAAAACAGTTATAAAAGATAATCAATGTGTACGCCGAGAAACAAGAAGTTTTTGCGCGATAAATTTTGAAGAAGAGTGGGGATCACGGAAATTTGAGACTTTTACATAGGGAAATTTAGTTATGTGTGCCAATTATTAAAGTCACTGAGATCTTTACGGGAAAATTTAAGTTTGTTTTTAAGTCACGAAGTTCCCGTGAAGAAAAGGAGGAGATAGGAAAATAAACAAAATGGAAATAGGTCCTCCAAAGAACCGATCTAATCGTCGTATTAAAATACATAAAAGAGAAAACGACTTAAAGAGATTCCAAAATGGGACCTTTCTTGCTGAAATGAGAAAAATAACAAAGTTTGCTTTGAGAGCGAGATTTTTGCAGAAATGGTTAGTTTTTGCAAGAAATATGTTGAAATGTTTGCGCCAAATTTTCGATGAAACAATATTTTCTACCGAAGGCGATCTAGATATATCATATCGAGAGTTTCCTGATCCTCAGCGAGGCTATTATGCATTTATGTTTCACACTGATTGGGCTAGCGGGCTGCTACAAGAAAAGTTTCGCAAGAAATTGATGTGAGTATGCATGTTTATGCCTTATTTATCCGCAGATACCGCGGTTACTGTCCTCAGCTGAAATACGAATGCGGCCATACATATGGAATCGCTACTGATAAACTCACAACAGTAAGTTGATACAATGAAGGATTCTTTATTTAGTTCATTCAACCGAGTTCATCTGAACAAATCGGCTGGAATAATGGCTTTGAATGTATCATGATGGTTATCACTTCAAAAGAATTACCGATTTTTCAATAATCTTTTAAAAGCATTCGTGTGCCTGGAAACGCTTTCAAGTTTTGAGTGAATACAGTGATACGTTTTGAAAAAACTTGTTCTATGAAAATGGGTTTAATATTGTGCATGCAGTTACACCAAAACACTTACTCTCTGAAGGTGTTATGAAATTCCAGATGAAGTTCTTTGACCTCCATCAAAGGTGCCAAGATTATTTCAATTAGAAAAAGACTATACATACAAACACGTTGTTACTGTAATGTCAAGTTCAAATTCATTCATTTACTGCCATCGTGGCCCTTTTGTTGTTAAAATGTTCGACCAATTCTTTAAACTTATTTTTTGTTAACGTCACCTCAGAGGCACATGCGAAACGAGAAGCTTGTCCCGATGACTCTACCAGATACGAGAGAGAGACAACCTTTTCTGCCCCAACCGAATGGAGATAACAAACTCACGGCTGCCATGGTTCCCTACTACACAGGTTGAGTATTCATTACAATAGAAATAAAAAAAAACATTTCTTTGCACGCCCACAACTTCATATGAGTCCAGAAAGATGCTTTTGTCTACTAGTTCCGCTCCATTGTTAGGGCATTATTTGGTAAACTGGTATTCAAAAGGCATTGCTGCTCACTAAGCATGTTGTATTGGCTTCGCCAATCGGTTTGCCACTATTGGTGGCTTACAGTGAGAATTAGACTCACTGCTCCGCCGGCGCACGGTCATTCTGTTTGATCCAGCTTTCATTTGGCAGTCTTAGTAAACGATCGATTTTAGTTTTAGCTGCCTCAAGAGTATCATGAGACATGGTATACCGTAAATATATCATAAGAATCATGTGTACTCTTTACTAACTCGGTGATTTTGAACTTGTTATGACACCTTTCACAAACATAAATCTTAATCAAACTCATGTCACGTACCGCCCGACGTCTTTTTTCACGCACTTGTCATTTGTGTGTCATAGCTATGTAAATAAGTCTTATCGATGTTGTTATATGGGTTTAAAATTTCTCTCAAAGCTCAAGGGTTGACATTAAAAGCCTTATTTTGAATAAAAAATAGCTTCATAACACTGACATCTTGACGCAGCCATTCACAAATGATCGTTATCGATCGTGCGCGTATTCTAAGCAAGAAGGAAAAGAAATTAGAGCAGTGGGTCGGGAATGCAGAATTTGCCCGACAACATGAAGAATGACATTATGACCAACGTCCATGTTTTCGATATCAGAATCGGGAACAATCGGGCACGACCGAGATCACTCGGAAGCTTTCCTGCAAGTGTTTTGACCTTGAGGCTTGGCTGGATTAGCAAAAGTGATTCCCGCAAAGAAGTCCATTGAAACGCCTATTTAATGCTGCAAAATGAAATTTTCACGATGAAATCTTTAATTCAAGAACATTGTCACTAAGTCTCAAATTTAAAATCATTCATGTACCGGACAGCATCCTTAAAATACACATATTCAAGTACATAAATATTCAAGGCACATCTTTAAATTGTTTGAATGAAAGAATAAGAGTAGTCATGCACGAAAACTCATCCTTGCTGAATTTTAATATTGCGAAATAGGGCCTTATGAATTATTTGACTAAAAATGACTGAATGCTTCTGGTTTCAGGTTACGTTCCTACGATGCGATTCTTGTACGGTTCTCGCTACAGAGAAGCAACAGAGCAGGCTGTCAGCGATTTCATGAAGAAGGACAAAACTCACAGAGCAGAACAAGATGATCTGAAAAAAACTGTCTACAGTCATCCGAAACTAAAACCTGTACCAACTTACAGAGAACCTACAAATTACCCCGATCTAACACCTAAATACGCTAAAGGATACTTTCCCAGTAAGTGAAGCACATTATGCAACAATATCCTTTGGCGATAAGCAAATCACTAGTAACTCGGTGAAATCTAAAAGCCTCTTTGCTATTGGTTGATAAAAGTGTATTCAATAATCAGCAAAAATGCCTCGCTGTTCTTTAGTGTCTTAAAGACAAAGGCGAGAGTAAAATCATTTTACAGCTACCCTGATAGCAACTAATCAAGGGTATCTCGTTTCTTGAAGGTGAACATCGTGAATTCTGCGAGGCACCTTTACCAGGCTACACGGGTTATGTACCACGGAGGAGAGAGCATGACCTGGGAACTAGGTATGCCACCTGGACCAAAGGCGGATTCACGGACTCTCTTGAAATGCGTATGAAACAGGAAGGCTTAGCTACCCAAGCCATTGACGTAACCAGGTAAACAAAACAAATAACAAAAGGCTCGATTCGCATTCTTGACGCTTATCAATAACTAACGCTTATCCCTTTAGGATGCCAGTTGCAACAGTGAAGCCGCTGATCGCAGAGCACGGAACGCTGTACAGGGAAATGGGAATGAAACCAAAATACACAGGATACATACCACGTAAGTCGACACTCTCCCCTTAACTTATTTCACTGAGCGTCATAAGTGATACAAGATTACTTCGTTTTGGCTTTACTGCCATCTGTGATCGATAAAAAAATAACCTCGAACCACTTTCTGAGAAAATCTGAGGTTGATTTCTCATCAGCCACTTGTGGTAATTTCCTGTCTCCTGATTAGCTGCAGTGATCTCTTTGACACCCACCCGAAGTGTTACCTTTCTACTATGTTTTAGGTTTCTGTTTTCTTTCCTCTTGCTTGCATCAGCACTTGACTGACTGCTTACTTGTTTACATTCTCTCATTCCTCCCTCTTTTCACTTCACAGAGCGGCGTTTCAGATTCGGCAACACATATGGTGACACAACTCGGTCATTACCTGTCTGTTTTGACACATTTGGATATTCAACTGCCAAATACCTGACAACACCCGTCATGTGAGGGGCCTTGGCATACTTTCGCGAAAAAAACCTGTCTCTTCAAGTGTTAGAGAGGAAATTTCGCTACATAAGTTTTACTAGGATCACCTTAGTTGAAAATTTATCGTTGTTCTTAACTTCTTTTAGTAAATATTGCAAAATTTAGGTTTAAACTAAACGAATTACGAAGAAAAATGTCATCAAGTCTAAGTTGAGGTATAAGAACGAGCATCAAGTAAGTTATAGCAGATCCCAATTCCCTCAATTTATTCCAAAACGAGGAAACAACAAATGCCTGCTTTGCCATTTGAGAATCGACCTTGCTTCGTTTTGTACTTATTCTCAAAACGATCCATCCTCCTGAAAAAGAAAATATGTTCTGTTTCTTAAACTTGTGCCGTTCCTTGATCCTATCAGTGCTTTGGTTCTAAACCTTAGGTGATGGGTGAATCAATTTTTTTATGTGTTGATAAATATTCAGGTGAGGAGCATAATAGTTCAGTATGTATAGTTTGCAAACCTAAATTAACCTGTTAACTTAATTTATTGAGAGTGATTTTATTATCTAAGAGTGAGATAAACCCCGAGCGTTCTAATAGATATATTTTTTTCACAAGCATGAAATCCCAATTGTAATATTGATAGTCATAATAAAGTGTTATACTTTGTCTCACGATTTAGTCCTTTTCGACGTGGATTGCGATGTATCGAATTTAATCTGCGAATCTATTTCGGGCGAAGTCAAAAAGGTTGACTGGTTTCGCATCATTTTGTCGTTGTTGGTGTTTTTTTTTTTATTAGAGGTTAATGCGTCGATCAATTCGAAGCTTCAACATCCCTCCCAGGCAACCACCCAGACATTTGAACCACAGCAGTCGAGCTCTTTGAAGACCCGGATTTAAAAGAACATAATTCAAAACACGAATAATAGAATCGCAGTTTGCATTACACATTATGGAACGACGCAAACATAATTCGGAATACGAAGAATCGAATACAGAAGCAAGCAACAAAACAAAAACGACGTATTAGCGAACATAATTGAACACAATTCGTAACATTAAAAACACCAGAGAAAACATTAAAAACCGTATTGGCAAACAACAAAACTAAATTCCAAACTTAATTTTGGCGGTAATCACCCCTTATACTTGAGCACAGATACCTGAGGTATCGACATCATGTCAGCTGACTTTCTACACCCCATGGCCAGCAAAAGGCAACGACCCTGTGCTGGGGTGCAAGTGATTTCACAACTTTTACGGCTGATATCGTTATATGGGACTAAGCATCGACATTGTTTTCTTCCAACCGCTTCAAGCTGGTACAATTAAAAGTAATGGAAATTTTGATTAAAAAGGGTTAGATAAAGACAATTTGAGAAATACAAGTGGATCACACCGAAAATTCGAATTCTTGTACCTAAGCGTTAAATTCGTGTATTTAAAACAAAAACACTAATGGATTGTTTAGAATGCTTTATTTCTGTTAGAGACGTGCAGTTCTTAGTTTTTCCCTTTATTCTGAAATAATCAACAGTTGCTATTCTCAGCAAGAAGTTTAGAAGGCACACCTAGAATAACCTCAGAATCGCTCTGACTGTAAACAGCTAGAAGCTAGCTTGAAGTTGTAAAGGTTCCTTTCTGAGGTGATCTTATTCTTCTTTTTTAAAAGGCTCGGAATTTACATTCATGATTAACTGCATATACGTCGCTTTCGTCTTAATAATCACTTAAATAGCCAACAGCTACATGAAATAAATAAATATTTGCACTTTGTGCCAAATTACTTAAAAAATCAACGGCTAACTAAATCATCTACAATCTTTGCATATTCCTCTCTTGGTCTATTTGTAATCAGACTTATGTGCAAATTTCCATTTGCTGTTAAATAAAATTTACCTCATAAATTGACTAAAGACTATCACTTATACTATTTTATTGGTGAAAGAGACGCAAATTCTAACTGTATTTAACAATATTTATAAAATTATCCATAACTAAAACCACTTATTTTCAACAGGAAGTTACCATCTCAGAGGGTTTTTGTACTGAAAACTTCCTACTGAAACATAGCCACTTGTATCAACACCTAAAACGTTTGATTTCTTTTATCATTCCCAATTTGTTTCTCTAAATTAACAAGACCGACGAGGACCGTCTAAAGTGTCCTGAACATCACCAACTACAATCGATCATGACAATTATATCGGCTATGAAATGGTAGTTTCAGGTCAATTTACAGCATCTTTTTTTAAACAACATATAAAAAAATATATGAAACGCTACTTAGGCTCGATAACAAGCTTTTGTTGAGGAAACTAGTCCGCGCGTTCCCGGGCCCCAAAGGACTCAGATGTGTAGAAATCGATTCCTAACACTAACTTGCTGAATGCTAACATCATCATGATGTTAGCTGATGAGACCAACCAACGGTAACAGTGTCGGCGAGAGCAACTTTTACAAGAAATAAAAAGGAAAACATACACATCGCTAAACTTTACGAATGTTCTTTTTTTTTCTCCTCGGTATCAAAGGTTCGTAACAAAAAAAAAATAGAAGTTTAATCCCAACGAGTAGCACGGACATGTCGCTATTCTCGTTCTTCACTGACAATTTTCACGCTAGTCTTTTATAGTGTGGTTGAGAACCACAATAAAGAACCAAATGTACTCGGGTTTTATGCGACTATTAAGGGCTCACACTATTTCTTGGTTGTGACAGACTTTCGGGAAGTAGTTCAGCTTTGACGGTGGGTACGGAAAAGCACTAGCATTGTCAGCAAGACTAAAATAACACATGTTTATAAATTAAAGCTATATCACAATTTCTGAGAATAAGTTACTAATATTTCAGCTGGGCATCAAGCTGCTATGCAACCTGTATCAACATTTTAACCATAATCTATCGTGTTGTAGTCTTACTCCTCGTTATCACATGCAGGGAAGACTCCAAATTGAAAGGAAAGGGAACACTCGTCTTCTCTCTTTGAGACACATTCACATATTTTTTCTCACTTGCTGTGCTCATGAATACATAGCTTCCAGATCTCCTTTTTAGGGTTGCTCGATAGAAAATGTAAACAGCCATCTTTCTGTTTGCTGATCTAAGTTAATTACGAAGATAATTCAACCACCATTTTTAAATTAAAATTAACTAGTATGCTGTTTTCAAATGAGACTTGTATCTTTTAGAGGTAATTTTAGAGGCCGTCGAGCAAAGCCTTTTTTCGGTCTCCTTCAAGAGAGCCAATACCTCTTCCTTTACTCTTTCAAATGAGAGTCCTCCCCATCTCTCTCTCATACATATTGATATTCTCTTTAAACACGTGTAGGCCACTTACGCATTAAACGGTAGAAAAGTAAATTGCGAAGCATACATGCCGGGCTCTGCACGTTCCACTCTCCTAAACTTACCATTACTTTTGATGGCGAGGTAGCCCGTGTTGTTATAAATATTTATAATATTGAATGGCCTGTATGTTAGGTAGTGGTTTTCTTCCATGTGCTCCACAAACAAAGAATCAATGCTCAGGTTCCCCTGAAAGAGGTATAGAAAGAAAATTAAGGAATTCTTCGGTTTGACGATATTGGCGATATTAACACTTGCACATTTTTACTGATATGAGTGAATCTTTCCCAGCTTGGTTAAAAGTCTTCCTCACGCCACTAGTTCAAAATTTCCGATGCATGTTCATCTCGGTAAAGCTTTTCAGCTTAAAGAAACAAGGGGTATGGAAGAGCGAGATTTTTACAAACGAGCAGCTGCAGTAACTATCAGATAAAAACAGAAGATGTAAATGCATCTAAAAAATGCAGTAATCAGCTGAAGAACGTAATGGACATAAATGCACTTGGCGAGTGGTTATTGCGATACTCATTATATCAAAGCTGAATAGAAGTCGAGATTAGGCCGACATAAAATGATGGGAAATCATATTCTCTTGATTGGACCTAATAATTATCAAAGAGAAGGAATGTTACGCTTGATACTTACTCTTCCTATAAATCGTCCTCTTTTTCTGCCTCTTAATTCACATGCTAAGAAATTTTGGCTCAAAATTCCCTTAAACCTCTTCAAAGTTTTATTATAGCTTTGCATTTCAAGTTTAGCTGAGGGATAAAAAAAAAAAAAGATATTAAAAGTTTTGCATATCAGGAATCATTTACGGGAGAGCAGGGATAGAGTTTGGCTGACTGCAATATCGTATACGGAAAGAGATTAAAAATTTTAAATCTATTACTTGGAAATAGCTCGCTAATAATTAAAGGACGTAGCCAAAATAGATTTCTTTCAATCTCTCAAACGATCTATGCTGGCAATTATGATGATATCAGTGACATGGAGACGAAAAGTTACTCTAAAATGAATGTAAATATGGAAGACAGACACCTCTCCTCATAATTTTGTCAGGGGGTGCCGTCAGGTTGGTACATTCTCCACCTAAGTGAAGTTTATAAGAACATTCATGCAAACTGAGGTTTCTTGAAATCAGGAAGAACTTTCCTGGGCACAAAAATAGCCCCAAAACTCCGCACTAAACTGAAAAAAAAAAGGCTCCACGGATTTTCGGGCCAAACTGAAAAAGGAATCACACCCACGTGGGCGCTAGGAAGGAGACATTAACAACTTCACTTACTGTATTCTGACGAATTGTTCATTGTGGCCTGCACAGTTCCATTTTTTAAAATTTCTAGGAAATAACCAGTCCTTGAATATAACCTGCCCCTGAGTGTAGCTGTAGGATCAACGAAAAGTTTATTCATGGCATTCGAGCTTCTTGGTTGTCTTGAAAGTCCATCCTCCGACGATCTGAATTTTGGGTTTACAGGAGTTCCTTGCACTGTGCTCGAAGACAAACAGGAAACCACAAAGAAAAAACAGGCAATCTGTCGAAAAATTAATAACGGTTATTTTTACAGAGACCTGCTAAGTATCAATCCTAATCTTGCCGATAGGGATTGTTGTCAATGAGTCACAGGCCTACCTAAGAGGAAGAAAGACCAAGTTCTTCCAACAAAAAGCCAAACTTATAACCTTACATACCACATACATGCATAGCTTTTATAATGACCTTAGAAAAATATCTTATTATCATCGAATGCGAGACGGAAACATTGTCAATTACCATTACTTGTTCGGTACTGCAAATCCAGATGCGTGCGTTTAACCGCGCAATTTCATAATTCCGCCAATTACGAATTTACACTATAATTTATAATCGATTTTTAACTTTTTTGGGCCGCTTTTGGAGAATCAAGCTAAGCCAATTTGAACACGAAACAGATAGACATACAACTGGCGTCAAGCATGAGCTAAAAAGCCCTTGTGATCAAGAAAGACTAAGTATTGACTGACGGTAATGCCCAGATAACCATGTAGAGATTGGACCAGTACGTTCTTTTTCTTCATTTGATTGTAACTCGACATAAACATAAAACTTTTATACACAAAGAACGTGGGCAATATCGGGACACTAACAACGAAAAGGTTCCGTAAATAATGATTTATTTCATGATTAAAAGCCGATTTTTAAGACGTTTTTTTATGAGAAGAAATCAAGATGTCATGTGTGGACACGCCATTAGGTTCCGCTCTCCACTCAGGTAACAAGCAATTACTCAGGATCAGCTCAATCTTGCTCCATCTAACAAATTGGTTAAAATCTGACTGGATGCTAAATTCAACCTATCAAGCAGTTTAATAAATGATACCTAATCACATATCTCTGTTTCCGATTGAAAACACGTTCCAAAGACACTGTGACACTGCGTCGGTGGGGGAGTTTAACAAGATATTTTGGTTTTGTCAGCTGAATTAATTACGTAAATTGGTCACCCTAAGAGTTTCTAAGCTGAAGTTCCGAGCGTTTGCCCCTCGTCATTTCCTCTGACGAAGGGCTAACGCTCGAAATGTCGGTTAAGATACTCTTTACGGTGGTCAATTTACATGATGTACTTTTCTATTTTCAGCATTCTTTGATATAAGAAAAAATTCAAAACTTTTCAGTGACATCACTCGCTTTGCTCACGGTTCCGGATGAGTTCGGGCATTGACGTAAGTGCCATGACCTGTACGAAAATATAGACAATAGAAAAAAATGCAGTCGATTTTCTCGTCACGGAATCAATCCCCACGAACCGCGCGCTTACTCGGAGAAAAACAACTGCCAATAGGCACCATCACATGAAAATGAAGCACCATCATCCAAAGAGCCAAACTGATGTCATGAATGTATCATGCGATTTCATGATCTTAGCGAGTGTTTCGAAAGCACGATGATTCGGTTCAAAAGCCATGTCTGGCTGGTTTGTCCTTGTTTATGACATAGGCAAATAGTTTGCACTTGAAGCCAAAAGCTCTGTCTAATATCTACGTCTGGCTGGTTTTTCCAAGTTTACATAAAAAGCAAATAGTATGCACTTGAAGCAATATAGCCTTTTAATGTGACAGAAGACAAATGGACCCCATTTCAAATTCAAAACTAGCACGATATTTACTACCAATCTACTTTAATTGTCACCGGTTTTATTCCCTAAACGAAATATATGAACAATTGAAATTGTTTTATAGTCTTTAACTTAAGAGATATAGACGTTAAAGTAGAAATTAAGGAAATAAATTGATCAAAGACCTTCTTTGAAATTCGTCGTGGGCGTTATGTTTCGTTACCATCAGGTAACTTTACTTTGAGAATCAACAGAGTGATTACTTTCTCCCTCGGTACAAAGTCACTTGAAAGACAGCGTGACTTAAGCCGATTGATTCAACTGAAGACTAGCTGAAGTTGACATAATAACTTAACATAAAAATGCACGACCTCGGTCAAGATCAGTCACTTCATCGGGTGCAAAAACGTGAATCAGCCGTAAAACGCAAAAACGCAATCAACCGTAACCCACGGAAGGATATCAATTGATAACATAACATTTTGAGTAAAGCCGTCTCTTCGAGGGGAGACTAATTTCAAGAAATGATTTCAACTTCATTTTGAGTGTAACCCTCTGTATTTTCCTATTTGTTCTTAAAAGTTTGTTTGTGTTAAATGCTTTCCTTATTTAAAGTGTCAAGGATTATCCGGTTCATTAGAGGACATCGTGGACAATAAGGGCGCAGACGACTTATAGCTGACATTAGTAAAGCAAAGCTTAGAAAAAAATCTCAGAACAAAACCAAAACAAAACAAAGGTTATCAATACAACGTAAATTGTCTGACTGCAAAGATTGATCATATTCTTGTAAAAGAAAAAGTAGTTTGTCCAAGACACTGATAAGACATCACCCCCCGCCCCTACCACCACC